GGTCGGGGCGGGGCGGGCCGCGGGCGCCGGCTGTCAGCGCGGGGCCGCGACGGCGCCTGGAGGCGCGCGAGCAGGAAGGACCGCGGGCCGGAGCCGCCGCCCGCCCCGCCGCCGGTGCCGGGCTCTAGGTGAATGCCCCTTCCCCGCGCGCCCGGCGGCCGCGGCCCGGTTGAGGGACTGGCCTCGCTCCCGCCGGCCGCCGCCGCCCCGGCAGGTGGTCGCGGAGGGAAAGTCCGGGCTTCGCCCGCGGCGCGGGGTCCCGGCGCATCCCAGGTGGTGGAGGGAGGTGGGGCGGGGACCCGCGGCGGGCCGGGCCGGGCCGGGGCGCGCACACCGGACCCTCCTCGCGCGCCCCGCCGCCGCCGCCGCGGACCTGTCGCCCGGCCCCGCAGCCCCGACCCGAGCGCGGGCGGTGGCCGAGCGCGGACGCGGATGCTGGCGGGGGCCTCCGGCACACCGAGTCCGGCTTCGAGGCTGTCACCCGGGTCTTGTCTGTCTGTACAGTAAGTGTGTCTTCATTAAGAAAAGAACAAGTAGTAGTAATAATAATAATAATAATAATAATAATAATAATAATAATAAAACCCCAGTGTTCATTTGTGGGAAGAGATGACACACTGATGTCTGTGACTTGTGGCTTACGTTTATGTGGAGATTACACATGTCATCCTTTTGTAAATGAGTGATTTTAAACATCGAGATTTACGCCACGTTCGATCCAACTCGTCCCTCGGAAGTGTGGATTTTCGTGTCCACGGAGTTTTGCCACTGCCACCACTATTCAGAACATTGACCTCGTCCCCCAAAGAAACCTGTCCCCTTTGGCAATGACTTCTCGCTTCCCCCGACCCCACCCCTTCGCAACCACTAATCTGCTTTCTGTCCCTGTGGGTTGCCTGCGGTGGACCTTTCCGATAAATGGAATCAAGGATGGGTGTCTTTCCGTCTGGCTTCTTTCACGTAGCATAGGGTTTTCAAGGTTCATTCACGCTTTAGTGTGCATTAGTACTTTATTTTTGTTAATAGCTGAATGATTCTCTGAAGTGTCACACAGTTCCACCTTTTGCTCATCTGTTCACCAGTTCATGTATGATTGGGTTTGGTTTTATTTAGATATTGAATATGATACTGCCATGAATATTTGCGGACATATGTTTTGAGTGCACTTGAGCATATACCTAGAAGTGGAAGCGCTCTGTTTAACTTTTTGAAAAACTCCCAGGCTTTACCAAAGCAGCTGTACCTTTCTACATTCCCTCCAAGCAGTGTATGAGGGTTCCCAGTTGCTTCACCTCCCCACCAGCACTTGTTATTTTCTATTGACTCCTTTTTAAGTTCTGGCCACCCTAGCGGGTGTGAAGTGGTACCTCTTTGTGGTTTTGATTTGCATTTCCCTAATGGTAGGGATGTCAGGCATCTTTTCATATGCTTATTGGTCATTTGTGTATCTTTTTTTGGAGAAATAGCTATTCAAATCCTTTGCCCTAATTGTCATTGGGTTATTTGACTTTTTACGGTAGAGTTGTGGTGTTCATTTATTTAAAAAAAAAAAAAAGGCTTTCTGGGTTTTGGGACTAGCACTGATTTAAAAAAAAAAAAAAAAGCCAACCAACACAATACCAAAATCTGTAATTCTTACACCTGTAGTGCTTATACAGGTATACAGGTACTTGGGTAAATGTTGAATAAGTGCCATTTAATCCTTTCACAACACTCTACTTATTATTGGCCTTTTTCCTGTCCCCCTTCTATTTTCTCTTATGAGAGATGCTTCAGAAGTCCTGACCAGAGTCAAGAGGGCTAACCTGTACTTGCTATTTTCATATATTCTATGCTTAGTTTGAAAAGTTCTGGTTATCACTTTAATTACAAATAATTTATATTGGTGTCTAGTTAGATGAGCTAATAATAGATTACTCAGTTAAATTACTCAGAATTTTATATGCTTCTTGCGAAACAGAGGGTCTTATTTTCCTCAGTTTGTGTCATTTTTAGTACAACCATGGGTGGTAAATATTTTTGATGGCATTAAAGAGCCACTTACAGGTGAATGAGCACTGTTATGCCTATTGCTTGTTAATTTTTCAGTATGCACCAATTCAGCATCAGATCTTGAGAGCAAAAATTACTTTGACAGCACTTCCAAGAATTCAGACTCATTTTGCACTAATCTAATAGATTAAAGAAAAAAAATATTCAACAATACCTGATAAAGTATAATAAGAAGATTTATTTATTTAAAAAAATTTAGTTGTAGATGGACACACTACCTTTATTTTACCTATGTGGTGCTGAGGATCGAACCCTGTGCCCCATGCATGCAAGGCATGTGAGGCCCTGGATTTGATCCTCAGCACCACATATGAATAAATAAATGAAATAGAAGATCCACTTACAAATAAAAAATATTTAAAAAAGAGAAAAGGTATATAGGGATCATGGCAATAGGATTTTGCAGAGTTGGGGAGAGAGACTGGGCTCAATTCTGAAGACAGCATGGGCAAGTAGGAATTGATATCCAAGGAGTAGAGTGGATAGGAAAGTACAAAGGGAGGCCAGGGTGTGGCTTCAGGGTAGAGTGCTCTCCTGGCATGCCTGAGGCCCTAGGTTGGATCCCAAGTGCTGAAAAAAAAATTAATAAAATAAAAATTTAAAGGCCTCCTTGAGAAGTACAAAGGGCAAACATCAGGGGTTGGGGTTTTCTGGCCAGTCCAACATAACAGGATTCTGGTAAAGATAGATCCCATGACCAATCACCTGGGGGATGTGGGGGAGCCTGATTAGATAGTCAAGGTGGGAGTTTCTGGTTAAACTAACTCAGCAGGATTCTTTGCTAAACCTGAATTTTACAATGTGCACAGATGGCCCTAGGAGAAGGTTCAGGAATTGGATTAGAGTTTGGTCATGCAAGAATCTTTGTCACTGTTTAAAAGTGTACTACCAAATTTCAGAAGCGTTATAGAAAATAAAAATTTTGAAACAGAAACAGTGAAAAAAGCAACTGATTAAAAGTATGTGAAGTATAGTGCCAATACCCTGTAATCCCAGCTATTTGGGAGGCAGAGAAAGGAGGATCTCAAGTTCAAGGCCACCTTGCGCAACTTGACATGGCCCTATCAACAAAAAAGATAACAAGGATTGGGGCTGGGGCTGGGTACTGTGGTGCACATTTGTAATTCCAGTGGCTAGGGAGGCTGAGACAGGAGAATCAGGAGTTCAAAGCCAGCCTCAGCAATATAGCAATTTAGCGAGGCCCTAAGCAACTTAATGAGACCCTGTCTCTAAATAAAACATAGAAAGGGGCTGGGGATGTGGCATAGTAGTAGAGCACCCCTGGATTCAATGCCCAGTACCACTAAATAAAGTGTGTGGAGAACAGCTTCAGCTCTACTTCAACCTATGGATTATAAACAGTGGTAATATAATAATGATGATAATATTATAATAATATAATAATATTATAAACAGTGCTAATATTATTGACTCTTTTATGCCTTGCTGCCTTTATTAGAAGAATAAGGTTGACATTTTCAGTGTATAACTGTGGTTTTTGTTTTGTTTTAGCTATTGAGATTTTTTTTTGTGGGGGAGGTGATTCTGGGGGTCGAACCCAGGGTCTTGGGGTGCAAGGTAGGTACTCTACCACTGCACTACATCTCTAGACCTTTTGAAAAGTTTTTGTTTTGAGACAGGTCTTGCTCTGTTGCCCAGGCTGGGTTCAAACTTGTGATTCTCCTGACTTGGCTTTCCAAGCACCTGGAATTACAGGTTTGCACCACTGTGCCCAGCTGTTTCTTCTTAATTTACGCACCTACTCAGATGAAACCGTAGCACCTGAAAAACTTCGGGTTTCCCTTGCAGGAAGGAAAGTCCTGCCCTAAGGTGTTTCCTCATAGGAGGTGAAATGTAAAGGAAAACTTTCTCTAAGGCAATATAAGCCCATAAAGAGCCAGCGAGAGCCTGTCTTATTGACCTTTATCCCTGTCTTAGCAATTAGATAAGTTACTGTAAGAGAAACTAATGATAGGGATGGAGAAAAAGAAGTGTCTCTTTAATCTTGTTTACTTTTACTTAAACATGTGAAAGTTCTGTTGCCGTTCAGAGGGGGACACAAGCAGTCTCCTCATGAGTTGTGGGGTGAGTAAAAGGGTTTTGTGGGCTAGCCTAGGGGATCTCCATTCACAAAAATAACTGCTATTATATTTTCCTTGGAAAAGACTAAACCTCTTAAAAAAAAAAAAAACTTTTAAAGTGGGTGACCATTTCATTATGTGGTTAAATACATAGATTATATAAGTCCATTTCCTTGTGTTACTCAAATATTTACCGAGTGTCTAATATGTTAACAGGCATGAGGCTGGGCCCTGGGGATTCAGTGGCGGTCAGGAATGGGTCCTCGATTCCATGAGTCTAGAACTTTGGGACCAGAGGAGGGGAATGAATTTCAAAGGCCAGGAAAGTGATGTCTATGAGCCAAGATCATGAGCAGGATCGGAGAAGCCAGGCGAAAGGGAAGAGAGTGTGCAGTACCTGAGGGTGGAACTTTTCTAACTGCAAGTGCTTACTAGTATTTTGTGGCATCAGTTTAGTATCTTGTGTGACAGCATGTGTGTGTGTGTATGGTACTGGGGACTCAACCCAAGGTCACTTAACCTCTGCGCCACATCCCCAGCCCCTTTATTTTTTGAGACAGGGCCTCTCCAAGTTGTTTAGGATCTCACTAAGTTGCTGAGACTGGCTTTGAATTTACCATCCTCCTGCTTCAGCCTCCTGAGCTACTGAGACCACAGGCGTGCGTCACTGTGCCCAGCAAACCAGTGTTGTTGTTGTTTTTTTTTTTAATTTTAAAAATATTTTTTTTTAGTTGTAGTTGGACACAATGCCTTTATTTTATTTCTTTATTTTTATGTGGTGCTGAGGATCGAACCCAGGGCTACCCACGTGCTAGGCGAGCGCTCTACCTCTGGGCTACAACCCCAGCCCCCACCAGTGTGTTTTTAAAAAAGAAATAAAATAGGAAGGATGGGTCACATGTAGCTACTTACTAGATGGTGAGGGTGGGTGGGGTTGTTTATGCAGGACGAGTTAACCTTATGAAAGTTTGGATTTATCTCAGAGGAAATGAGAAGGCACTGAATTTAGTTGGGGCCTGATTAGATCCATATTTTTCTGAAGGTCTCATTCAGTGTGGAGTCTTTCAACTCAAGTTCAAACTTCAAGTCTCTTGGCCTCGTGTTCCAGGTATTCTAAAATCTGGTTCCAATCCATTCTAAAGCAGCTTTCCATTGTTTTTATTATTAGAATCTTCTATTTCATAAAGATTCTTTGCCTACCTTTGCATCATGAAGGCAGGCTCTGAGAACAGATCTTACTTTTGTCTTTTCACAGTGAATCTTGCAAGTAGCATGGTGCCTGGTACAGCTGGAGACTAAGAAAATTTTTGTTAATACAGTCTAATTATATACAGTTAATAGAAATGTTATGTAGTAGTGGAGGTGGCTTT